CAGTTGTGGCCCCTGACTAAGGAATGGGACAAATTAATTCTAATGTTAAAGATTGCTACAGCGTGACATGCTAACGTACAGTTCACACAGTGATGTGGAGCAAACTGGAGGAGCTGATCTCGGGGTACAGTAAAGGTGATCTTGTGATCTGGTCTAGTGTATATTAATTATTGTGATAAGGTGAAGCTAATATGGTTAAGTACAACATCTGAGCGGATATTGTGATGCTCAATCCATTCTATTTCTAATCCTTTGACACACCATCAAAGAGCAAAGTTAAACCAAAACTTACAGTAGCTTGATTTGATCATTCAACAAAATCATGGCATCAAATTCAAGATTGACTGTCCAATAACAAAGTTGCTTCTCACCTGACATAACATGTTTATTTTTTATTGCCAATAGTTCAACTTAAAATTTTCAACTGAGTTGAAACTATTCACTTCACTTAGCACAACTTGTTTAACATAATCATTGGGGGATTATGTATGCATATCTCTATACCTGGGGCCTAATTACTTCCACATGATCATTAGGCATTTTATATTGTCACAGATACGAGATAATGATTTACAAGGGAGCTAAGTAATGTGAGAATTATTATATGTTCAGCATGATTATTTGCTCATATTTCAAGTTCAAGTATTAACAATTATCATTATTGTGATCGTGAGTTAAGTATATTCAAATGATTTTCAGACCTGCAACAAAGAATGGTAATACGTGGGAGAGAAGGCAATCAGGTTAGGTAGAAGAAAATAAGTGAATAAAAGTATTGGAAACCCTGAAGAAAAGGATGCGGTAAAGCAATGAACGTGTCTGCAAGAACCCTTCTACAGTGAAACAACAAAAATAAAAAACCCACATAAAAATTCAAACACTTATGTAGTGGCTGAGATTGCAGCTAGAGGGGACTAGATTGCAGCTAAGAGTTCATTATAATGTTTGTACTGTTTTCACTGTTACCATTTATGACAATGTTAAAGTGGGTCAATGCAATAAACAGACAACATGTCCAAGTTTGTCTAAGTAACTACTTCTTAACTTGTGCTTGACAGCACAAACCAAGATGAGATCAATAAAATAACAAGGGATAGGGGCACCATCAAGGGCTAACAAATTCATTGTTTTTTAATTTCATTTCAGCCTGGTAAAATGTCTTCACAAGCTGATGGAATAAGAAGAAGAAAAAAAAGCCATCTGCTTTGTTTTAAACTTATTTATTTACTGGCAATCCAATGAATTAACAATTTTAGTTTATATGAAGTTAATACAAATAAGAAGAGCAATATGAATGAATCTATAGATGTAATTAACATGTGCCATGTGTAGAGGTCTAATTAAACATACATCATCATTTTTAAAAATTGTTCGTAAACATTCCACACAAAAAAAAAGAAGATAAAAACTTAATTATTCGAATTAAAATAAAGAATAGAAAATATTTAATGTAAGTTTTTTATGTGCTTGAAACTAGTGGCCTTTCTTCACACCCAGATGTCACACACTCTCATGTTGACAAATGTTTGGAACCAAGATGTCACAACAAGTGATCAGTTAGTTATGGCTACACATTTCAAGAGTTGAACATAATAGAGGGAAGTAATGGCAATAAAGGGGAGAGAATGCCTTCAGGTTGGGTAGAAGGAAATAAGGGGGGAGAAAATAATATTTCATTGCTCTAAGTCAATTTGGCATATTTTGATCCATGATGAAATCATTTTATCATTTCATTGATCAACAAAACAATAGAAAAAGAAAAGCTTTTTTTTTTTATAAATAGGGTTATACTTATACATACTGTAAAGCAATTAAAATGCTTGTGTAAAATTCAAAATACTTTTGAGGTGCTGAAGAATTTGATTTATGGGTAAAAAAATTGATAAGATATGATCACTGAAAGAAAACATTCATTTCTTTTCAATGCATTAAATACTTTGTTTGAAGCAGGCAGCCAAAAGTTACAGTAGACCAGCAGTTCTCACACACGGGGCGGGGGAAGAATAGCATTAAAACATTATAACTAAATGGTATGTTTGAAAAAAAAGCATCCTCAATGGTATCAGAGGCAGTATAGACTTTCAGTTGACATGGACCAGTTCTTTTCATTAATGACTTGGCGTCTGCAAAAACTTTGATAAAAATGTTGAATGAGACTAAGTACTGTCAATGTGTGATGTCATGAGAAATGTACAATTAAAAAAAAATAATTTTTAATTCTTTTTTTTTTTTCCATGTATAAAAAAAACAAAAAAAACCAACGAATTATCACATAGCCTAATAATACTCGCTTCATCGAATAATAAAATTGATTCTATAATAAATACTTGGGAGTTAATTTTCCAAAATCTCTGGATCAAACAAGAAGTCCATCAGAGCGGCATTCAGGATAATCTCAATAAAAAATTGTTTGATCATTAGTAATTAATACTTGCTCAGTGATACAGTAAAAAAAAAATAAAGCATTAATTTTTTAATTGCACATTACTTCCTCATTATAATTGCAGATATTACAATATGCCATGTTTCTTTATTCCCATTTAAGAGAGCCATTTCATTGATTATAGTTTGATAAAGGTAAAACAAAAATTGTGTGATCATAAAAATATTTCAGATTCATTTTTAAACACAGTACTTAATATAAATTAAAAAGAAAAGTATATTGCTAAAAATAAGTTGCTCACAAAAAAAGAGAGAACAATTATTTATTAAATTTCATATCAAATAAATTCTCAGTTCGCAGATTAATTCCCAGTGACTGATAAATTGTACAATGACATGGCTTCTAGATTAAAAAAAATTAAAAAATATAAAAATATATGGTTTAATTAAACAAAAACATACGTCATTAATTTAATAGCTGACAGGCTTAATAATGCAATATCTCTTGTCACTCATAAAATCCTCACATCTCTAAATTAACACTTAAAACATTGTTAGTAACAAAAATAAAAAAAACATGATGTAACATTGATAATGAGATTTGAACAACATCAGTAGTAAACCCTGTCAACTATACACAGCTGTGAAGGTTTGTGCTATTCCCACTTTCTATTCATATTTGATATATTTGTTGAGGTTAAAGAGAAGATGATCTGCATCACAGTGACACAATTAAGTATTTTATTCTGCATCACTAGATGGAAATTTTTTTTAAAAATAAGCATAAATATATATTTTTTTAAATGGATTCCCTGTAAAGAAAATATCGTCTAACATTTTTTCATTCACAACACAATCAATATTTTTTTTTTTAAATTTGGTTGTATAAAATAACCATATATAATAATAACATATATATTTATACATAATTTTAAATAACTATTTAATTATTCTTGAATCCTTTTACAAGACTGATAACCTCATGTGTGTGCTCACATATATTTTGGTAAGCTTAAATAAAACCCATTTATTGGAAATTATTGGTAACATAGCAGAACACATTGATCATGCTGCTTCTTCCACCAAACACAACACGGTTGAAATAACAGGAAAAAATCATATTTTTTCACACGCCTCATTTAAACGTAGCTCAAGTATCATTTAAACTTATGTCAAGTTTCATTTAAACGTATGTCAAGTATCATTTAAACGTATGTAAAGTATCAATGACTTCCCAGAGTGGAGCCAATCTAATAAATTCCAAGAATTATTCATTGACTTTGTACATAAAAATCTTAGAGGTGAAACATTCATTTATGTAGGTTTTAATTAATTTTTTTTTTTAAAGAGGAATATTAAAAATACTAGCACTACTTACTTTCAATTCAGAGTGTTAGCACTACGTCGAATATATCCTCAACAAAAAAGTTGAAGACATGAGTAAATTTGCATGAACAATAATGAATTCCATTAAACTTATTATTTTTAAATGATTGCTTTTACTAATATGTAAAGAAATGTGTGGGTAAAAGTAAAAATTTATTTTAAAGTCTTTTAAAAGGCATCAATGAAAACTCTACTGAATACAATTCAAACTAGAGAAAACTATTATTAACTATCATTATTATTTATTCAATAACTGGCAAACCACACAAAGAATGTTTAAAGGGGTCAGGGGAGAGTCGTGTGCCATGTTACCAAAGTTCAACTAGACAATTGGTACATAGGTTAGGTATGTCAGCATTATGTCATTCAGCATTGTTCAAACTCTATCACTCGGATTCTACTCAAATACCTGAACACTATCTTCATTTATATTCATCACAATGATTTCTTTTAAAACATTTATTTTTGCATCAATAAAACTGATCAGATAACAACAATGGGTTTGAATGTCATTTATAGAATCAAAATAAAAAGTACAAAAACTAATGCATGGAGATAAAAAAAAAAATTCAATAAGATAGATAAAAAAAATTATAATTATTTATGTTCACAAATATTCAAAGAATTCAAATTTAGTGCAGGCTTTAATTACAGAGTTTTTTTCTAAATGAAAGTTAGCTAAACAAAAATTGCTGTGTGCTGTCCTAACAAAAGGATTTACTACAATTGTAAATATAATATTGGCTCAAATAGTGAAAGAAAAGCTAGAATAGAATGAAATTTTCTTACACATAAAGAGCATGCATTGGTTCATCTTGTGAATTATCACTGTACTGCATCCGCAAAAAAAGCTTTGCGCATGTTACGCACTGGCTTCTAATATGAGAAATAAATCTCCTATTTTAAATTTATTGGCGCATTGTAAACAGTGCCTAACAAAGGACGATACCATAGAGTCAACAATATTAAAGATGCGACACCGAAAACAGTTGCCAGTTACAATTAATAAGATTTATTAAAGTCTTAATATAATAATAAAACAAAAGAAATATAATTATAAATCATCAACTTACAGTATGGTAGATCTTGTACTGGTACACAGTTAAAACAGTTAGTATAATGTGCCAATGAATAATGATGAAATGCGAAATAAACACATATGAGCACACAAATACACAAAGAATAATACACGTCTCGTAAAGTTAATAATTTCTATCTGAATCCCCCGCTCTCCGTATCTGTCAATCCCTTATATACATGTAGCGTAAGACGCTTCCAGAAAAGACTTATGACGTGTTGTTTACATTACTCGGGTTATCGAGCACATTCGAGAAAATACCAGGAGACATACTACCCAATGTGTAATTGGAAGCCGATAGTAAACCAGATACATCAAAGAGATTTAACCACGCCCACAACAGACATTACTGTCTGCTAGGAGTGTAATGCTTGGTCAAAGAAAGTTCACGCACTGGAAAGTTGTGCTACATAACAGTGCAGCTTTAATGAATTAAATGGATGATAGTCGTCTCCTCTGCTCTTCCGCCAATTCAGGATGCCAGAAGTCCACGATCAAGATCAAAAGGAGTTTAGAGCCCTCGTGCCAGACTTGATGTTCAAAGGAATCATCAGATATGATGAACTCCCCTTCTTTCCAAGTCCTAGATGGAAGAATAGATGAAATCATCAAACTTTTAAGAAGGTGAAAACATGAAAATATTAAATGTTAAAAGTTCTTTTGCAAAAAATACTTTTGTAGCTGCATTTTTCATGTTTATTAAAGGAAATTTATACATTTTTTTTTAAAAAATGAAAAACGTAGCAAGTTACACATTTCTTTAAAGCAAAACTACTTAAGGTTATTTCTTTCTATTTCATGTTTAAAAAGATGATTAAATATTATGTAAAGGCTTTTCGTAGTTAAGTAACAAGTTAATTTATGAAAAAATGTATCTTAAAAAATATAAGGAATATAATATAGTCCTTTCTATGTGAAAAATATCTTACTTCTGCAGGTCTTCTCTGAAAAACCTTTTATAAAAGACATTATTCTTTAGAAAATATGTGAGTTTTACCGAACATACACGGTTCGCTGCAAGTTCGCTGTCAGAACTGTCATATATGATTGCATGATTTTTCAATTTTGGGGATTAAAAAATAATATTCAGACTCCTTAAAGATGATTTATAATTAAAATCTCAAATGTTGTTCCGATTTTTTTTTTTTTTAAAACAGGGTTTGGAAGGGTCAATGTACAACGATTTAACTTTGGGAATTTGGTTTGTATGATAAATATCAGACTATTGAGGTAAACCTAGTTTCATTGATAACTCATACAACTGGACCTTCAGGTACCACCAGACCAAAGTGAGCGCAATTAGTTGGACCAACATGAGGCCACACATGGATGCCAGGAATCATTACAGAAAACTTGAACTTAAAAAAAAATAGTGCAAGGTTAGTCAATACTTCATGTACTTACGCATTTTAAAAGCATGAGCAATTATTGGTTTGCACGTTATATAAGACTTGTGAATTGCTTTTTTTTCTTGTTCTGATTTTTCCAGTTCCTGGACAGATATTTTTGGGAGGGATATTACAGTACAGCTTGGTGCTATCAATGTGCCACAAGATGACCCAATACATTTGATTTTTTACTTTTGTTAACATCCATAGAAAAAAAAAGGGGGGGGGGAGTCAATGCATTTTAATGTTGCTGAGATTTCAAAACCCACCCCCCCCCCCCCCCCCCCTTTTTTTTTTTACAAATAAAAAAAAAAAAAAGGGGGGGGGGGGTTCAGCTTTTTTTTTTTTTTCCGTACTTCCCCCCCCCCCCCCCCCCCCCCCCCGTACTGCCAGCATTCTTATCCTGTACCTTATTTATATGCCCCACAGAGCCACAACAGGGTTCAACTGGAACTTTTATTTAAACATGATAACTTTCTATTTTAAAAAAAAACTAACTTTCATTGAAAGACAAGAAAATTGTCAAAGTCTCTTAACTTTTTCACATAATTTTATAACTAAATATTTGAATCTGAATGCAAAAGCTACGTGTGATTTTTAAAATAGAAAATACTCTTAAATAACAAGATTAAACAATAAAAGGAAAATAACATTCATATAAATTTACACCAATATTTGTCATTTTCAAATATTTATTTCTCACAATGATGACTCATGTTGTCTTATGAATAAAACCAATCTGAAATTAAATGTTTGTTCCAAATTTTGTATTTTGTAACCAAAATAAAAGTTAAATTTGATTTACTCTATGAAAAAATGGAGTTTAATTTTAACAAAATCAAGGTTCTTAACACTTTTGTAGCGTCACAACCCTTTTGATTTCAAAACATTTATCAAACCCACATATCGTTTGTATATTCAAAACATTTTTCAAGCACCCCTATGATAAAAATGTTAACAAAATTGCAAATAAAACTGACTTTCTGGGTCGTCCCACACCCCCAGGCTGTGCAGCAATATAGTTAAGACCCACTGATATAAATTAACAAAACAATAATATTTTTAAAAACATAATAAAATCAAACCCGTCCCCACTTGCAACCATGTGCAGCTGGTATCTGGTCAATCAGTGCACACGTCTTGAGTGCTTTGACATAATTATCAGGATTTTTAGGATCTATGCAAAATAGGATAATTAACTTTTTAAATAACTTTACTTTTTTAAGTCTGTCTTCGAAACTAAATCGGGACAACAGAAACAGACAACAGACTCCAAGAGTCTCAATCTATGTCTCAAATACAACACTTTTATACTCACAAGACACAATCAAGGGCAATAACTCAAGTACCTTGTTGATACAGAGTAAACTGCTTCCAATCACCAGTTTCTCGAAGGTTTTCCTCTTCTGGCAAGAAAGATCCCATCTTGGTATCAACCACCTGATGGTTTTCCAATTGTTTTTCAGCAGCTGTGGAAGTTATTTAACAGATATATATTTATCACTGATGATTTTGTACAATGATTCATTCTGGAGACCAGATAGATAAACACAGAGAAACATATGTGACAGACCGGCACATTTTTACAAGGATTAACCCTCACGCAAAATGAGATGATCCTATAAAAATTCCTGATTGAAGAACTTTCATTGAGTCGGAAATCCTATACCATATTTCCACTAGCCCATTAAGTTTATATGAATACACACTTTGCAATTTAAGACAATTTAACATTTGCATCAGTGGTCAGCAAACAATTTGAAATGGGAAGCTTCTCCGTTATAAAAAAAAAATGTCCTGGGTCTGACAAGACACTAAAAGAGGATTCAATGTACCGTGAGATATTCTTGATAGCCAGTTTGTTCCGCTGTCCACCTCGACCGCCCGGTCAAACCATCAACATTGTAAAGGGATCGTTGCCAGGCAGTCGGAAACAGATATTTATTTTTTTTCACCCTCTTCAAAGTTGCGGTGTGCCTGATGGGAAAATGTAAATAAAGTTTGATGGTTAAGTCATGGGAGAGAAAAGTTATCCGGAAAATATATGGATGGGGAATACAAAAAAAAAAAAAACCCAGGAATTGTAATGTCTATATTAGGATCCATCGCTGGTGGCAGAAACAAAAACGGACAGGCTACACTGAGCAGAGAGAATGCCAAATGACAGAGGAGTGAAAATATATTTATTTTTTTTCCCCCCCTTCAAAGTTGCGGTGTGGCTGATGGGAAAATGTAAAAAAAGTTTGATGGTTAAGTCAGGGGAGAGAAAAGTTATCCGGAAAAAATATGGATGGGGAATACAAAAAAAAAAAAAAACCCAGGAATTGTAATGTCTATATTAGGATCCATCGCTGGTGGCAGAAACAAAAACGGACAGGCTACACTGAGCAGAGAGAATGCCAAATGACAGAGGAGTGAAAAGTGTGCACCACCAAAACCCCCAGAGGAAAACAGCTCAAAGGCAGACATCGGGCTTAGATGAATGGATGATGAGGAAAAAGATCTGCATCAGCTGGGAATCCACGAGTGGAAAGGAAAAGCATCAGTTAGGTCTGAGTGGAATAAAGTGGTGAGGTGGGCCAAAGCCCTACATGGGCTGTAGCGACACAGGGATGGATGAATGGTAATTTCATTCATTTTGCCAAATAGATTTGTATATTCTTATATAAAATGAGTAAAACAGAGTAGGGTTAAACCTGAAAAAAGGAACACAACAAAACAACGAATGTTTCGGCAGAAAGCCTTCGTCAGCAAACAAAACAACAGAAAAAACTGTATAAAAATAAAAAAGCACTTAGCTTAGAAGTAGTATCCGTGGGCAGCAAAAGAAATGTGACAGAAAGTAAGTGAGTGAGAGATTAAATAGGGAAGAGCGAAAGAATAGAGGATAAAAAGTTCCACTGCGATTGGTCAGGACATTGAGGGGTGGAGCTAGGGTCAAGCTGTGAAAAGAGACATGACATTCATCCCATGTGCCGTCAAAGTGCCATAAGTCAGGATAAGCCTGTGTTCCAAATTCACCCAGCTGGGTGTGTTCGTGTTAGCCACAATCGCATTTATTGAAAAGTCCGCCTTGCCCTGGTGGGCGCTACTATTGAAGTGTTTGGAGATGGGACACTGTTTATCTTGTGTAATGTTATGGAGGTGTTCGGTACACCTGTCAGAGAGTCGGCGACCAGTCTCCGCTATGTACGTCATCTGTCAGCGGGTGCAGACAATGGCGTAGGCAAAAGAAAAGCATCAGTTAGGTCTGAGTGGAATAAAGTGGCTTGTACAAAGGATACCGTCGCGTATCTGAAAACTGCCCTTAGGGAAATGTATTTGTTGAGTCTGGATGACAAAAGGGCACGTGTTGCAACGGCTGCATCCACACGGCTTGGTCCCAAAGTGGGAGGGGGAGCGTTGATACGACTGCGCACAAGGAGGTCTCTCAGTTTTTTATCCCGTCTGAAAACAATGAGAGGTGGGAAAAAGAAAATTTCCCGTGTATCGGTGTCTGCGAGTAGTATAGAGCGATGTTTAAGAAAAACACGTTTAGTTATCAGATTGTGAAGGTGATAAGTGATAATAAGGTTTGTCCTGTCAACATTGTCACTCATACGTGGCCTGATCGCGGATCTCAGTGCAACCATTTACTAACTTGAAAATTGCATCCTTTTTTAAGACCTCTAATAACCACTTATCGTATGACCTTATTAGAGCGATTATCCACCAACTTAATCGGGAACTGTACTGCTTCCTCTTTACCAACAAAAAGAAAAAAACTCGACAATCTTAAGCCCACTACAACTCTACAACACATCAAACTGTCACTGGCAACAACTTAGTCGTTTGCTTCCCCATTGTAATTCCTCTCTCTGATGATGAAAGGTCGCTACTTTCTAAGGGTCTCAAATTTATTCCACTGAAACCATCTTGCGACCGCTACCCAATACTTTCGGATTCCCACTGCTTCTTTCGGTCCTTGAGACTTCAGTTTCACTTTGGTGGGAAAAGTACCGACCTTCTAGAAGACGATCTTTTCTCATTCATTAGGGAACACAAATCTAATTTGACACCACCATCTAATCAAGCCAAAGTTTTAGACTTGTATATCAGGAGCACGGAAAATGACATCAATAACCTCTCTTTGCCTCCACTCTGGAAATCCAATCTGTCCAAAAAAGAATCACTAGCATTACTAGCATTCTCCAAGTTGCGCAGTCGGAAAGATATCATCATTAAACCAGCTGACAAGGGTGGAGCTGTTGTGTGGGACAGAGATCTCTACATCAAGGAGGCTCATAGGCAACTAGTAGACAGCCAGTTCTACCAACCGAGGACCAACAACCCTATATGGGACTGCAACTGGGGTTATTACTTCCCTTATCACCCAGAGTTATCATTCATACCGGGGAGTACAAGAACGTACAAAGATGGCTGCTAGTTGAAAAAAATTAAGAAACTTTTACGGCAATTGCATCAGCCGGTATCTGGAAATAAAGCAGAACTTGTAGATCGAGCATCATTGCAAATTTGGGGGAAAAAACCCAGTAAAGACGAATTATTCCATCGTCCAAACTTCGACAAGCTAACAACTCCTTCAGGAGCAAAAATGCCCAACCCTGCAATTTTAAAAGACTGGTTGATGTGGGAGGCAATGCCTTCAGATGTTAAAGATACAGATGTCTACAACTACTTTGTGTTGAGCAGGTAAAATTTATACCTAATTATTTAAAAATCACTTTGTAATGTTAAAGCCTGCTACTAGCAGTGCTACAATTATTTTCAATAATACTACTAGACTACATACATAATACAATAATACATAAGAAAGATAGGTAGTCTAAACTAAGTCTAAATGTATATTATAATAAGTATATAGTAAAGACTACTGTAATTAAGATGCTAAATAAATGATTAAATAATTAATTACTGATTACTGATCTAATATTTGACAGTCTACACTAACGACACTCTTTTTATTTTTAGTGTCATCATTATAAAAAAAAAATTGACTTCAAGACAGGTATATAGATCTATTTATAAAATAGTATTGGTCATTAGGCTTTAATAGGCCTAATGTTAATTGTGTTTAAAAAATCTAATTTATCTATTTAAACATTCAATTAGTTAGTATACAAAATTACACATACAATCATTCGGTTCTCATGTGAATATGTACTTTAAGTACAGTAATTTATTTTTGTCGCAAATGAGTATCAGCAGTATGGGTTGGTTGGTGTATGAGTGTATGGCTCTTTGCTTTTCTTAACATTTGAGGAATTAGTAAATACTGTCATAATTTCTTATTCTTATTTTTTGTAGTGCATTAAATTTTCTCTGTCATTTTTACAGATTGCATACAACTGATAGCACAGAGATGGGAGCATCACAACAACAGAAGAGCAGAACTATGTTCCTAGAAGGACATCTGCAAAGCATTGCTTTTTAAATATTACCATATTAACATATAATATATAGAATAAAACGGTGAATTTATTTGTTTTAACATTGTATAACAAGAAACAGTTTGAAAACAAAATAGCCTTGGTATATTCCATAGATGTCGTAACGCCACAAAAATACCCTAATTGATAAATGTTTCATTTAACTTTCCAGAGATGATTGTGACCATTGTTTTATCAAAGCCAAGGTCATGCCATCTTTGCCAAGTTTTTATTGTTGTTCGTCCGTCGAAGTCGACAAGGACCATCGAATCATCCGGTTAGGGGCGGGCGGGGGGGGGGGGGTTGGGATTACGGGGAGCTCTTAGGTGGCGTGTTAGACCGATCCTTGCTCGGTATAATCTATGACACCGTGGGCATGGGGGGGGTTGGGATTACGGTGAGCTCTTAGGTGGCTTGTTAGACCGATCCTTGCTCGGAATAATCTATGACACCGTGGGCATGGAATAGTTGCTTCAGACGATGACCTAATGTTGCTCTTTCGGACTTGCCTGCGTGTCTCAGCCCTGGTTATTCTCTTAGGTTCATGGGATTTAGCCCCCTGCTTGACAGCAGCTCTCCATCTGGCTCTGTCCTGGGGCTGTCTGCACCCATTGAGTAGGGTTTTTGCCAAGTAAGGAGGTCTCTAAGACACCTGATTACACTACATGGATATGTTTAAGCAAGATCTCTGGATATATACATTCTGCTCATTGTACTTGTACTAAGTTGTACTGCAGGGTAAACTATTCTGAGTTTTAATTTATTTTAATTTTAAATTTTAAACATGGTATGTTATTGTGCTGTCTTCATTAAATTTTATTGTTATCATTACTATTTCTACTGGTAAAACTAAGGTTATTTGGGAATTTTTTTAACAAAGAAAAGTTTACAGTTATGATTATGACTCTATTCAGTTAACTTTTGTCTTTGTCCATAAACACAGTTTCAGTGTTTAGGTTATCACATAAATGTTTCAGTTTTATGACAGTAATTATTTAAAAAAAATTATTTTCAGGGAAGGGGGATCACGTAATCACGTGGCTGCCGCTCTCTAGTATGCTTCACACATTTGTAAAAAGAAGAAGAATGGTCGAACAGCATGCACATCCCAACCTTGCACATGGAGTGTCCCAAAACGTAAAAGGCTAATAAGCCCCAAAAAAAGTGACTGAGAGACCACTTCGGCCACTTACGCGAGTAATTCTTACATCCCCAATTGTAAATTTTTCTCGCCTGCGTCACAAGGTCTCCTTGCTGGAATCTAATTCAGGCTATGTGTTAACAAAAGCACAGTCCCTGAGTTTCAAGAGAAAGCATTTTTGTTGCCTGATGTGGAATACAATATTAAGGATTCTACAGACCTGAAAACTAAAACTTGTACGGATATTTTTGAAAAGTATGTGCTCAATCTTCCCAGTTTCAACGTCACTCGGATTGAAAGAGAAACTAGAGGACAGGCAAGCAATCCCCTGTGGAGAGCTATTCGCCAGGGTGGATTAACAAGTTCATGTTTTGGACAAATATACTATAAGAGGGATAAAACTGCAGTGGATAATATTTTAAAAGAGGTATTGGGCTACCGCTGTGTGCCTGATGTGCCCGCAGTAAAATGTGGAAGATCACATGAAGCTGTTACCAGAGTTGCTTATGTTAAAAATATGCAAAAAGAGCACCCAGGTCTGCAAGTAGAGGAGTGTGGACTCTTTACGGACAAGAACAATAGTTTTTTGGCTGCCAGTCCAGATGGAGTTGTAATTTGTTGTAATCATTGTTTTCCATCTGTGGGCTTGGTGGAAATCAAACGTCCCTTTACCCGCAGAGATTTAACAGTGAAAGAGTCATGTGAAAACAAAGCCTTCTTCTGTGCCATAGAAAATAATAGTATCAGACTTAATCGTTCCCATCACTATTTCTGCCAAATCCAAGGTCAGTCCGATGGGCGTAACTGGCAAACCTTGGGTGGATTTTGTTGTATGGACATTAAAAGATCTACATGTGGCAAAAGATCTACACGTGGAAAGAATCTATTTTGTTGTCATATTTTGGTCACATATGCAGGACAAACTAAAGCAGTTCTTTCTTGAAGGTGTGGTACGTGAACTGTTTTCACGTCGAGTGCAAAGAGCCAAGTCTCTTTCCTGAAATAAGAGAGTGAGAGGACCAATACAAATTTATTTAGCAGCAATATACAAGTTGTCTGTATCAGAAAATTAATTTTAACTTATTTTAAAAATCTTCAATTGTCATAATTATGCAAGTAAAAGCAACAATCGGTCAATTTTTAATTCTTGTAAAGTTACAAGCTATTGTTTTTATTGGTATTTTGCAGCTTTGCTGTTTAATTGAAAATGACACATTAAATGCCTGTAAAAATATTTTCTAAGCATAGCTTGCTCAGCTGTACCTGGAAACAAATCATCATGAAATGTAAATGCGGTTTGTATATATATATATATACGGCATTGCCATAATTAACTTTTTTTTTTTAAATGAAGTCTATAAAACTATAGCTTACTTATCAGCTGATGCACAGAGATTGAAAATGTAGATTTATGTCTTGTGATTGAATGTACAGGTATATTGACAAATTTGTACTATGGTGGTGTGTAAGTCTGAGCGCACAAGACTTAGATACTTGAATTTTTTATTAAATTAGGTATTCTAAATGAAAATTTCATGATGTAAAATTAATCTATTCCCCTAAATAAAGCTTGGCTCAATCAGAACAGACCCACAAATTTTAACTCTATCTCCAATGTTAAGAAAGTTATGAATGTAAAAAGAAACAGGAACAGGGTTAATTTTTAGACGACAGGAAAGTGTAGTTTTGACACTCACAATCTTCTAAAATAACTTACCCTCTTGCACAGCCAACCAGTTATACATATAACAAATTAAATTTTTTTCAGGGTTGTCACTAAAATGTAAAAACTATTTTGATTCATCCAAAAATTAGCCAAAACTCAATTTTACAAAATATGAAAGGGAAATACAAAAGTCAATTGTAATTCATTTTTATAAAAATCAATTAATGTGAAATCATCAGGAAAAGTTGAAAACAACTAAATATTTTTACAGGAATCATATGGAATTAGTAATAATGAAAATCAATTTACAAGAATAAAAGGATTATCTCATCAAGCCATCTTCACAATAATGGAGCAATTTCAATTTTTTATTTAAATCATAAAAAAATCAAGAACCGTGTCATTTAAATTGAGATCCTTCTCAAAAGACAGAAAAAGAATTTAAACAAATTTTAAAAATCGAACTATAAGTGTTGCCAAAAAAATGTTATTATACTTGAATGCTAATGTACTCTTTTGAATCATTCAATAGTCAGTTCAAATGATGGGTTTAATGGTGGATACAGTATGGTTAAAGCATTGCACACTTTCCAAATCTCATTTGGCTGGGACGTGTCAGCTAAACCTTGCTCAAGGATCCGAAAAGTTTTTACTGCTGCCATGTACCTATCTACATGGATTCTAAGCTTTGCAACTTGCCGAGTTAAAATGATCTCAGAGGCACTCATTTTCCTATCCTTGTTTCTCTTGGGTGGAATTATGAGATCTATTTTATTAGCTGTTGTGTATTTGGCAATCTCAAATCCTTTGTCTGTCATTATTGCATCTCCTGGTTGCAAAAGATCTAGCAGCTGTGATAGATTCGTGATTTGCTGATCACTAATACTGCCTAACCACAAATCTGACACAAATGACAAAATCCCATTTGGTTTAATGCCTATTAGTCCCTTCCATGTCATGCCTGACTTGTAGTGGCTGTATGACAGACTCTGAGTAATAAGAGACGCAGACCGGTTTGTAAATAACTCAGTGCAGTCAACAATTATCCTACATCTTGGAAAGAGGGAATGAAATTTTGATGGCGTCATATCATCAACTTGCTGTCTTGAGTGCCAGTGGATCAGTGGTGACAAATTAATATACAAAAAGCGTATCCACCAGGTAAAAATAGTGCTACATGAAGACACACTAATACAGAACCTATCAGCTAGGTCTTCTAACAAAAGTCCCAATCTGATTCTCATCAGCATTTGAAAAAAATCCCATCAATGAACCTTAGCATTTTCCGCTGGCCAACTTGATCCTTTAAAATATCCTCATTTTGGGACAGCTCATCAAAAACCACAGTGAAACATTTTGCAGAGGGAAATCCTGTATAAAAACGTACTTTCTTATCACAGTTTTGGATGTCTTCAAAAGTAAATGCTGGATAAGTTGTTTCAGTTGAAACACTCTCATTTTCATTTACAGTTTGTGTGGCAGCATCTTTACGAAACTGGATATCCGTGTTGACTCCAGTGTTGATTTTGTGCCTGAAAATAATGTCTGTCTGCACACTTTTTTCAACACTTGCTGATTCCTCCTGTAATTCTGGTCTCTTGCAGTAATCATGCATCCATGTGAAAGTGCTTTCAGGTTCCAGCAATAGTAACATACCAATATTTATTAACTCAAATCAAGAAATATTGTATTGTTCTCCTATGACCATGTATTTAACTGTGTAACTTGTTTAAAAAATACCAAAAATCAAATACATAGGAAACTTTTTAAAAGAAAAATAAAACTTTAAAGAAAATAACCATTTAATCTATTTTCAATTGATTCTAATTCTATTGAGCATGGTTATGAAACAGTAAGATGTATGGGGCACCAAGCTTTTGTATTTAGTATGATGTATGGGGTCACCAAGCTTTAACAAACCAACCAAACCATAATAAAGCTTAAAACTACCCAGTACTTCATTTGTACAAGGAATATGTACATTGAATATAAAAAAATTCAATATACATATACTAAAAACACAAAAAAAAACCCTGCAATAAAGCTTTTAAGAGGATTAGGATTACACAAAATGTAAATTCAAACGTTTCATCACACGCCTCCATCAGTACAACAAAAAAATATTCCCATAAATTCAATTATACATAAGGATTATAAATATAATATCCAACACCTACCTAAAAATGATAGAAAAGATTCATCCGTAAACAAATAAGAATGTTAAATAAAAAAATTAAAGCTGACCGTTTTATTGGTGGAGTCTGTTTCAGATGTCACTGGAACTTGAGGTTTTTGATCATATAGAACATTGAACAGCTGCTGCGTCTGATCTTGCGATATCTGGGGGTGGGAGGTTATAGAAATAAGAAATCATTAGCGCTTTAGCTAGTGGACCAACCATAATAAACAGCAAATGAAACAATTATGTATACACATTTGCTATTTTTAAAGCTGTTTTTTTTTGTGTGTTGTATTTCATCTTCAATTATTTGTAAAATAAAAAATTATCTACAGAATTACATTTTATTTTGCCTGTTTTATTTAAAAGTATAATGAGTTATCAATTTCTAAATTATATATTCTGTCGGCCTAATTTACAAAGTAATTGGTCCAACCACTAACTTTAAAAAATTAATTAAAATATCATTGATTTTGATTAAATTACAGTCTATAAGCTTACACTTAAATTTATATTATTTTTTCACACCATATAGGACTTGACTTATGCCAGAGCCAAATGAAAAGTAGTATTATGCTGTCATTAAATCACTTATCAATAAGAAAGTGCTAGTAGTTCAAGTCCAAGTATAATTATAATACTCTAACTCTAATAATTAGTAATTAAAATTATTCTACCAATTTACTCTTTGTTTTAATATTAAAGAAGTAGGCTTAGTAGGCGTAAGCCTAAGCTAAATGTAAATTCAAAATTATAAATATAGGGCGCCTATATAATGACACTTATTGGTAGCATAATCATATTATGAGCATTCATATGATTCATGATCTATCAGTAGGCGTAGGCCTAATCAAGCCTAACCATAAGATATAATTGGTAATAATCTATCTCTCGGTAGGCTTTGCATAAGTCATTAAATAATTAGCCAAAACACAGTTATAATTATAGGAAAAAAACGCTTACTGATGTAATCTGAAATTCCTTGTTTGCAAAAATTGATGGCAAAGAGATGTGAGGGAGGTTCGGTCCGCGCTTTCCAATAAAATGCTCACTGCACAACCTGCTGTTTGCAGTAACCATAAACCTGGCTGTCATCACAGTACGCACTCGCAGCCTCCATACTCGATTCAATTCAGGATCAGTAGGAAATTTATGTAAGGAAATCCTTCTTCCTTCTATTATTTTCCCACGATATGCTTTACAAACAAAGCAATACTACACTCCTCTTGGAACTTTGCTTGTAACTCTCTGCTGATCAGCCATTGTGCTTTCAGTTGTGTTGTGTAACTAATACTAACATTAGCAATGTACGTACCGGAGAACTTTTTCTATTTTTTTGGCGAAAAAGATTAACAAAAGCAAAAACCCCTGCTTTTTCAGACTGTTGCAGTGCCCTATAACCAAACATAACGACATGAAGAAAATGATTGCAGAATCGGCACTCCCTAAATCAGCCCTCTATACCCACCAAAACCCTCCTCAGATTGGCAGAACAAGTCCTCACCCTCAATTCGTTTTGGTGGCAAATTATTCAACCAAATCAGTGGTGTTGCTATGGGGACTAAAATGGGACCCAGCTATGCATGCTTGTTCATGGAGCATTTCGAACACATGGTCGAAAGCAGCTATACTGGAACCTCCCTGAATTTTATAAGAGGTAGATAATGACGGTATAAGGGTCACCACTATGGAGCAGAGTGAACTTGACCTGTTCATTACTTTTGTAGGCTCCTTTCATCCCTCCATTAAATTCACATCTCTTATCTCTGAGACCTCAGTTCACTTTTTGGACATGACAGTCACTCTTCACAAAGACAGCCTACTCACCTCTTCCTACTTTAAGCCCACTGACAGCCACAGCTATCTACTCTACTCTTCATCCCACCCTAAATCCTGTAAAGACTCTATTCCTTTTTCTCAATTACTTCGTCTTTGTCGACTTTGTCGGTCGGAGGAGGACCTTTGGGACAAAGCACTTGAAATGATAGACTTTTTCCAGTGTAGGTCCTACCCAGAGACAGTTCTTTCATCAGCCCTCCTAAGGGCTCCTAAGAACATTACCCGTGCTGATAAAATGATGTGAAAAGTGTTTGTTGAAAAGAAGCAAGAATAAAGGCAAACATCAGGTCCAGCTATGCACTGTTTGTATA